CTATACTACTTCAGAGAGCAGACCATGAAGATGGTACAGTGTTTTACACAAGGTGAAGCCAAGACATGTCACCTAAAGCTTACAGAAGTCCCAGTGCTCGAATGAAAGATGTTTATGCTTCGTTGCTTATGAACACAACCTCCTTCTTCCCATGGTGCCTGCAAAGAAGGCTGTTCTCTGCAAGGTCTAAATGGTTCTGTAAATCATCTCTGACCATGGACAAAAATCTTTATTCAAGTTGCATTATCATGTAAACTGGACACAGTAGCAATCCTAACTTTGCACCCAATTGTGTAAAATATGTTCATATTCATATAATTTCTGCTATGAATTGATCTTAGTGTTTAGTTCTGTTCCTCTTCCCACTTCATCCCCTAAAAGAGGTGGTAGAGGGAAGCCTCAAAAGCTAGGGTGCTGGTAGTGACTTTACAGGCACACTTAGTCTGAATGAAGACTCAGTGGAAAAATATGGAAATAGGTATTGCCGAAAGAACTATTCTTTCTACATCACACACCATCTCCCTAAACTTTAGATGAAACTGTGAATAAGATTCTGCTTTAAGATATGGCACTAACACCACAGTTTTTCACCTCTTACATAACAAAGCTATACTACCAAAATTTTAACTATTTGTTTCCAAAGCAGGGGAAAAAAAAAAGAAGAGGTGGTGTGGGTGGTGGATGGCATATACACTGGGGAATGGACTACCAGAATGGAGTCTGCTTTAGAAGGCTCTAATAGAGGAAGAAAGAGAACTAATCTTCTCAGTGATGCAGCCCACTTGTTATCACTAACTTGAGAGTCCTATCCTCTCTTTGTCTGCTCTTTCCCCACAACCACCAGTCCTCAAATATAGAAGAAAGGAAAGAAAGAGGAGTGTATAACAGAAAAGCAAGAAATAAAATTTAAGGGTGAGATGTAAGCTTAAAGTTACATGTAAATCTAGACTTAGTTGTTACCTGCATACTCTGCCCTTGTACCAGAAAGGGGAAATATTGAAATGATCCCTGTTTCAAAGAACAATGTGAAAACTGGGAGCTCTTAAGTGTAAACACGTTCATTTCCCTCCCCAAGAATATCAATTCAAATGGCTATTCTACAAACATATACTACTTACTATTTTTTTATCAGTAGGAATCTAGAAACATCAAGTTACAAAAATCTTCACTAACTTCCAAATTTTGCAAGGAATTAAGGATAGGAAATCTCTACATGTTTCCTTTGAGATATGCAGGTCTTTACCAGTAAATAACTAAGTTATGTGTTTCCTTTCACTGTGCACTTCTAAATCTTGCATTGGCTGCTGCAAGTTAATTGAAATGCCCAAGTACTCTCCCCCTCCCTTCTACTACAAAATCTCTTTTTTTTTCTTGGGTTGTAATAACATCCACCATACCTGGAAAATGCTTTCCACAATCCTTTTCCCTGCTCCACCCTCCCATTGACTTTTATTAACTTGAAAAAAACCACAAACATTCATAATCTTCTTACATCACTAAATGTAAGGCAGGGGAAATATAAAATTATGCTTGTGCAGGAAATTGTTACAACTGCACTATTGCAAGCAGTTTAACACAAGTTGTTTTACCCGAGAAAGATGGGAAGTCAGCTTTCCACAGTTTCCTGAAAAGCACAGAAATATTAAACCACCACAGTTGAACAGATGGAATAAAGTGCAACTGATCCCAAAGGCAAAACAATACCAGGTTAACTCTCACAAGCATACTAAAGTACTTTAATCCTTTTGCATCCCTTTCCACCTCTTGTCTGAAACAACCTGAAGGCAATACAGTATTTCCTCAATACAGAAATGCAAGTTCCCCAATGAAGCAATAGAAATGCCTCTGCCACAGATCGGAGACTTGTCATTTACATCATCGTATGTTCCCTCACCTGGTTCCCCTTTGCATTACTTAATATAAAGTTAAATTTCACACAAGGCAACCAGAATTTCTCCCCCCCCCCAAACTTTTACTCTGATTTTTCATAGCAAGTAGTGCACAGGCTAACAGGGTTGTTGTGCAAAGGTGCTTATCAAGCCCGCACAGCACTCCATTCAGGGGTTGCCAAATAAACAAATCTAAACTTTTTTACTATGCAAGTAATTTAATTGTCTCTTATCCCCTCCACTCCTCAACATTTTCCATCCTGGTCATCTTCAGGACTATACACAGATTTACATCCCTGCCGGTCCTGACTTCAGAGGAAGGACCAAAACCCATCATTGTGTCTACATAGGAATCCCTCTCAGACTCACTAGTCTGTCACACTCTTTAACAAACTTTAGTTGTCAGTTCCTCTTATCCCCCTTTTCTAAGATGTAAATAGAGAGAATTCATCCTGGATCATAAACCACTACTGGCCCCAAGGCAGGGCACTGTAATCATATAATCATGTAATTGCTAAAGTTAAACAAGACTTTTAAGTCCAACCATTAACCCAACATTGCCATGATCACCACTAAGCCATGTCCCCAAGTGCCACATCCACATTTTTTTGGAACATTCCACCACTTCCCTGAGCAGCCTGTTTCGATGCCTGAACCCTTTCAACAAAGAAATATTTCCTAATATACAATTTATAACTCCCCTAGTGCAACTTGAGGCCATTTTCTCTGGTCCTGTCACTTGTTATCTGGAAGAAGAGACAAACTCTCACCTCACTACAATCTGCTTTCAGGTAGTTGTGGAGAGTTCCTCACTGTGATCTCCAATCTAAACACTCCCAGCTCCCCAGCCACTCCACATAAAACTTGTGCTCCAGACCCTTCTGAAGCTTTGTTGACCTTCCCTGGACTCGCTCCAGCATCTCAATGCCTTTCTAGCAGTGATGGGTTTAAAGCTGAATGCAGTTCTCAAGGTGCAGCCTCCTCAGTGCCGAGTACAGGGGGACAATCACTGTCCTGGTCCTCCTGACCACACTACTTCTGATACAAGCCAGGATGGCATTAGCCTTCTTGGCCACCTGGGAACTCTGCTGGTTCATGTTCAGCCACTGTCGACCAGCACTCCCAGGTCCTTTTCCACTGGGTTGCTTTCCAGCCTCTCACCCTCAAGCTTGTAGTGCTGCACAGAGATGTTGTGACCAAAGTCCAAGTTCCCTCTTGTTGAACCTCAAAAACTTGGTCTTGGCCCATCAATCCAGCCTGTCCAGATCCCTGTGCAGAGCCTTCCTGCCCTCCAGCAGATCAACACACCCACACAGCTTAGTGTTATCTGTGAACTGACAGAGGGTCCCCACATCCAGGTCATTGATAGAGATACTAAACAGGATACTAACCCCCAGTACTGAGCCCTGGGGGACACCACTGGTGACCAGCCACCAGCTGGATTTAACTCCATTCTCCACCACTCTCTGGGCCTGGACATCTGACAGTTTTTTGCCCAGCAAATAGTACAGATGTCCAAACCATGAGCAGACAGTTTCTCCAGGAGAATGCTGTGGGAAGTGGTGTCCAATACTTTACTGAAGTCCAGGTAGAGACATCCACAGCCTTACCCTCATCCACTAAGTGGTCACCCTGTCTTAGAAGGAGATCAGGTTGGTCAAGCAGGACCTGCCTTTCATGAACCCATGCTGGCTGGGCTTGGTCCCTGGGTTGTCCTAATGATAAACATGTGATAAATTTCAATATCCAGTAAAACTTCTAGTTTTAATAATGTGGTGTTTTTTCTATTAAATTCTTAATGCATCTTTCTTTCATTTGGATACAATCTCTAACCAGAGTCTCAACATCTAAAAATAATTCAGGTAAAGAGGATTAAAAAGATTCAATCAGTGAAATAGGTTTCAGACTTTGCAGCTGACAAAACTTATTTTTCAATACCAAAATACTCTCAGGAAGTAAGACAGAACCTAGGAGAATATCTGAAAAATGCTACCATCTAGTATCCTACACTAATACTGTATCTTCACATTAATATCTCTGATGAGCAAGCAATTTTTCAGCACAAATCAGAACTCAGCTGGTCAATTCTGCAGTCATGAAGTATATTTATGCTACTCCACCCCACTCAGACCCAAAAGAGTGTATTCACTGGAACGAGTTTTTTACCTTCCTTGTGGTGGGTTGTGTTTGCTGACTAACATTGCTAAGCTGATGTTCTGCTTTATTCAACTCAGTTTCTAAACTCACATGTATGGTCCTATGAGATATTCATTCCTCTCCATATTTTGCTGACCTCATTTCTGTTTCCTGCTATAACCAACACACATGAAAGATACTAATACATTTTTCAAAAGGAAATGTTAATAAATGTGATTCTACTACTTTTCAAACAAACTTTAGGTAGACTTTCTGGTTTGTATTAAAGTTTATTTTCTGACACAAACAAAGATCACAGTCCACACTAAATAAAAAGTGAACTCAGCTGGGAAATGGAACTTTTTTAGCATGTAATATTTTTCAGGCACACTGACCCCAAATTTTAAGTAAAATATAAGGTATGCAAAAACATCACACAAGGTAGAGAAAGATTAAACAAAGGTCTGATAGAAAGAAGTTTCCTCAAAATAACACATTATGCCACCCTAGAGTACTTGATTGCAGAACTGCAGCACTGAGTTACTGAGCAAGAACATGACATTGATTCTTATTGTCCAAGTTCATTACGATATGGCAACACATAATAGCACATTTTAAAATACAGTTTTGCATAAGACTACTTGTAATACAAAGATCCTCATACTGAACATATGTAAGTATAAATATAGTATGAGCATATGTGCACATGATGGGTTTCCTTCAGAAAGGGTAAGTTGCAGGTAATTTAGTATCCTACAAAATTATTCTGGAAATCAACATTTACACAATGCTATGCATAAAACAGGCCTTTCCCCCCCCACACACATATATTGCTATCAAATCACACTATCAAAGGTATTTAATATTCATAACACATTCAAAACTATTGATGTTAAAAATTAACTGAAGAGCAAACAAAAAAGCTAGAAAGGCCACCATAACCATGAGAGAGCCTATTTCTTGAGAAAAACATACCAAAAATGGTATATCCTAAGGAATTGTCAGAACTGTCAACTTTATGGCCTCTCACTACTATTTACTGAATGCACACCACAGAGGCTGTAGTTTTCTCATGGTTCATACCTTCTTTTTCCATTCATACTCATTTATGAATATACAAGGAGCTTCATAAAAGACTGAAGATCCGTTATGCTTAATACTGGATGCAAGTTTTATATATTTGAGAGACCTTACCAAGTTGTCAGAAAAGTTTGCTTAATTTTCTTTTTAAGACCTCTTGGAAACACTCAACACATAGAGGATTAGTTTTAGATGACTAAGTGAAATGATACCTATCTTATCTCAACACGACCATTACCAGCCACAGGCTTATCTAATGGCAAAACCTGTGTGGGAATTCTGCCAGCAGCTGTACAGCTATCAGCTACCCAAATGTATTACCTTCTTATATTTGCAAGTGAGAAAAACTTTTCAGACACAAACATATTACAGTACTTGTTTTCTGTGTTTGGAGAATAATGGATCTGTAATAACGTGGCAGTGAATATAAGTTATATTTGTCAGAGGATTAGTCAGCACAGATGGATTGTTCAAAGGATGTTAAGAAAAAAATGGAAACATGAGAATAATACTAAAGTTTATCTCATTTTAATGTCTATCAATTCAAAGAAAGGGGGAAAATACCAGTTTTTGGTAGATTTCATGATCAGTCAGCAAAAGAAAGAAAGAGCCATTTTAAAAAAATGTGCCTGGCCCTATTTAAGGACCAGGCATGCTACAGCAGTGCTAAATTTTCACAGAAGCAGCCAGTCATTCTCTAAAGCAAAGTGCCAGCACACAGCTGCATGATGTAGCAGCACCATTTCTGCATGAATGCTTGGGAGAACACCACCATTCTGAGGACACAGGTTGGAGAGATCAGAAATAGTCTAAACAAATAAAAAGACATTGACATGCAAGAAATATGAGTAATCAAATAAGACAAACAGGAGCCAGATATGTAGGGGGAGGTTTCTGTAGCATTAGGCAAATATGCATAAGCAATCCAGAGAATGAAAACCCACATAAGCTAGTTCCAAGTACTAGGAAGCCTCCTTATAGGTAATTTGCATAAGACAAAATCATTTTACAAAATACATTAGCTGTCGAAGACTCTCTATATTTGGAATTTTTCATTTTCATAAAGCAGAGTCAGCTAAATAAAATATGTCTAAATCATTTTTTTAATTTATGTTCAACTGTTTGGATGTACAGGAATAAACAGTCTAAAGTCCAACAGGAGGAAAATAACTTTCAAATGGTATTCCTTTGAAATTTAAAAATCAAAATGCATTCACCTTCAAAGAAAGCCAAGTTATAATATTTATCAGCTGGGTTTAGAACTCAGTATTTTAATTCTTTTCAAAATCAGCATCATCTACTTTCTGATATTATTACTTAGATGTAAAGATCATTTTTTGGATACATCTATGACTGAAGTTTCTCATTCTTTTTGCATTACGGTTTTCTGGCAAACTTCAACTATATTCTTGATATCTTTCTAGATAAAAATATCATTTCTAGGGACTCACTGCAGCATTTTGCTGCAGAAACAACAGTTATAGAAAGTGTGGGTTGCTTATTTCCTAATATTTCTAATTCTAATAACTCTATCATCACTGCGGTTCCACTGCAGGACTACCACAAGATGAAAAACCCCCAAATTAGTCACTGCATTAAGCTGTCATCCTTACCATACTTCTCTAATAGGAAGAATTGGATAATTTTCCCCATATAGTAGATGATCCTTGAAGCAGACAAAATATTGTGATGGGTTTTATGCATGGCATATATAGCTGCCTGCTGAACACCCAGACATATGCACATTATAAACACATATAAGTCAACAGGAAGTTGGGAAAGTCTGTCAAAGGAGCTTAGCATCTGACTGAGACCAAAGCAATCAAAGCCTTTCTTCTTTATAATGGTGACAGATACAGCTGAAGTAAAAGAGTGGTCAAGTTAGTAAGCATATGACAAACATAAGACACTAAGCACCCTTCTGTACTGCACGCTTTAGATGCCACAGGTAGTGGTGCTGGTGAGGAAATTACTTACAAAATTTATTTAAAAAAAAACACAAGTAAGAAAATGTTCATAATATCAAGAAATCTATTCAGTGAATCCAGGAAGCCTCTATGTGAAGAGAACCAAAGCACCTCAAGCAAAGACAAAAGCTTCATATAGATTCAGTTTATTTTACTGCCTGCAAAATCTGGTTGGGTTTAAAGTCTTTCTCAATACAAAAAAGAACTTCAAACTTGAAGCTTCGAATTATGTTGTCTCTAATAAATCGATAACATTTTATCTGTATTGCAGATTTGTTCTCTTCCTACCCACCCAATATGCTGGCAATGCACAGTACCTTTCTCTTTTCCACAGGTTTCTGAGGCAATTGTGTTCAATTTTAACATAAAGAGGTGAAGACTGAGTAGCACCAGTAGCTGAGTCACTAGATATGTTTGTTCTTTCCAAACTGCAACTCCTACTCCTGTTGGCACATTCTCTTCTTCATCATCAAGGGGGGATTCCTGAGCAATACTGGTGACATCATCTGTTAAACCAAAAAGAAGAGATTTAATACAAATCAGATTTGATTGACAGCTTTGATGGTAGCAATACAATGGAAAAATATTTACACAGGGTAACAAAATGAAGCAGAATAGGATATTGCAGAAATTACAAGTGTGGCATCTTATTTCCTTTAAAACACATGTGCAGTGGTGGCCTTTACTAGATGATCTTCAATGAAAGCATAATGGAAGCTGCTAAACTACTTGGAAATTAGACCAGGTCAATCCAGACTGTTAACTCAGCCTAGCTAATACTAAGTTTGTATTCCATTTCAACACAAGCTACTGGATTTTGGACTACAGGCCTAAATTCCCATCTCACATACAGACTGGCCATTGCCATAAATCTTGTACCAAAATATATCAACATAAGGAAGTTATCATGTGTCCTTTGAAAATAGGTAAAGATTGAATTTTCAAAAATCTGAATTCTGTTCTCCTGTGCAGCAAAGACAATGATCACAATTTCCTCTCTGAAAACAAAAAACTGAAAGAGAGGTACAAAGCCTTAATATTGCCTTACTTCACATTTCTTTATAACATTTCAACATACTTTTATCTTAAGAGGAAACAACAGAAGTATTCAAACTTTTGCTGATGTTCACTACATGTTAGTTTGGATTCATATTTACCATGCACAGAAAAATATATTTACAGAAATAAAATTATCATTATGGAGATATCTTTATGGAAAACAGCAGGTTGAAAGATTAAAGAAAGTCAAGTTCCTTAACGAGTATCATCTACCTCAGTTTTCCTAGAGTCTCTAAACACCTTTAACAGCATTTTTATTTACACTGTGGAGTACAGAAAAGAAAGTAAAGTCTCCTCAGTAATAAATCTTCTCATGGTATACCCTTTATGTTAAAGATTGAGGGCAAGTGAACTGAACAAGTCAAACAGATTTCAGCAATTTCTTAAGCAGGTATGGCCATACAGGATCTCCAAAGCAGAGGGCTGGCAGATAGGACACAGAACAGGTCAAACTCTTGCCTTTTGGGCAAGAGAGCTGGAAGTCAGACAGAATACCCTGTCTGAACTTCAATGAAACATGATGGATATGTCCACTATCATGTCTACTTTTCAAGTCTTCACAAATAGCTGCACTTCACATAAAATACTTTAGGATTCCATCCAATGACACCAGTCCCAAAAACATAACTCCTAAACAATTTCCTTTGCTGGGAAATATTGCACTTATCTCTAGGGCTTTGTTTAAGGTTACCAAGTAGATTCTGTTGTTAGTGGATTGAAAAATAAATCCTTGGGGAATTATTTACCAGCTTATTTGTTCAATAAAGACAGCCATCTAGGTAGTATTTAATGGAGAAAGAAAGGAAATCTACACACTCATTTCCTTAGGGCCAAATTCATAGCTGTGAGAGAATACTTTTGAAGAGGATGAAAGTACAGCTGGGGCCAGATCATGGCAGAAGATCAAAGTGCTGAAACAGCTTAGTCAGCATATTTAAGTAGCACAGAACATTGGAAAGAGGAATTCAATTTATTTATATAGTAACAAACCTCCTCAGGCAGAGACAGAGGCCAAGAACCTCTATTTTTTAATTACGTCAGATATGTCTCGCTTCATCCTATGTTCATCATCCTTTTTGAGTTACCCTGTTCTTTAATATTCCAATATTGTTTTTCCACATAAAACAACATTTTTTTGCTTTCTTCTGGCTTTCAGTTAGCAATCTGAATACATTTGAACAAAAGGGAAAGAGAAGGTTTTCCCACATTAACATGTAATGTAGAAACTCCTAAGAGAAAGTAAGAATTTTCTTGTCAAAGACAAGTAAAGACAGCAATCAGGCCAGTAAGATGACAACAAAACAGACCCATACCCACAAGTCTCAAAAGAAAAAAAAAGATAGAAAACCACAACTCCAAATTCCAAAGTTATCCAGACAATTTGTCGACCTTGAAAAATGCACTTATCTTTTAGCAGATGTATTCATTCTGCAATATCAATTCTTCTAAAGGGGAACTTATTAGATTCTAGAAAGCTCATTGTTAAGATTAATAGTTGTATTTAAATTCTTTAGTAAATTTGGAAATAAAAAACATCTTAATAATATTATTGGCCTCACTAAATAAAAAGAATAGTGTTTACAAAAGTTTTGAGGGAAGCATGAAACAGATCTAGAATCTGCAGAAGTTACAGTAATAATAGCATATTAAAAAAATATATTGATGTGACAGTACCTAGTTTTGAAAGTGGATGTTTCAATAGCATAGCATACCAGTGAGATTAAAAAAGAAGACTAATTGGCAATAAGTCTTGCAAAAACTACAGCAAATTTGAAACATCTAATTATGCCAGTCACTACAAGTTGTTAGAGTGCTATTCACAACGAATTACCAGCAACCACTGGAAATTTACAACTCAATAATCCTTCAGTAATCTTCCTATAGCTTCTTAAAAAATATCTTAATACAAAAATAACTTAAAATAATTGGATACTTAATTTCTCACTTCTAGCAAGTGCTAAGCTAAACCTGTTTCTAACAGTGGAAGAGAAGGATAAAGAGGGGAAGCTGTTACTGTGGATATGGATCTGTTAATCTACAAACAAACAGAGCATAAACTATAGCTGCTGAAATTCATTCAAACTCAAAATAT